CTCATATTTTCTCTTACCTGAGTTCACTGTATTTATGCATATGGCGTCCAGATAGGAAGTGAGAAGTAGCCTCTTTAAATTGCTCTACAAAATTCTTCCACTTTCTCTTTATATATGATCTTTACATTCTCCGAAGAAAAAAAAAATACAATCCATGTGTTTATGAAATGGCTAGTGCATGGCTATGCATCTTTCCCACCATAACAGGTATTAACTAGCTTAACAGAAAAAATAACAAGTACATTCATTGTGTTTCACCTTCCTAAGTGAAATGGATACAGACAAAATTCACATTTTCAGTACAGAGAAAATATTTTGATAAACTACAGCTTGTTTAAAAAGTTGTAACTAAATACTCTCCAAATGAGAGATTTTATTTGAAAACAGGAGCTGTCTTTTTCATTACCCTAGAGATTCTCCTGAAGTTAGCTTAGGACTGTTTGCTACCTTCCCAAAGTTTGCAACAGGGGTTGTGATTTCCATGTGTGCAAGTGAGGAAACCTCTTTTAAAAATAAAATAAAATAAATAAAACTAGAAAAAAAAAAAGCTTGATTTTTTTCTTCATAAATACACAACAAAACAGAGAAATAAGCATCAGAGAGAAACACCTTTGTTTAAGCTATGTTAGAAGTGACAGGGGCATAATAACTATACTCACAAAAAAACAGAGATGCAATTCTGCTTCTGGGAAAACCCACGAACTGCTGGGAAGTGCTTCAGGAGCAGAGTCTGCATGGCTGGACACATTTTACGACTGCAGGGCAACCGCAATCACCGCAGAGACGGCGGGTGCTCAGCAGGCAGCAGCACGAAGCATGCCTTTCCATTACCCTACACACACTTGTCGCTCCCACCTCTCCCCGCATCAGCACATTTAGCAGATGTGCAAGAAGACAAGACAAGACAACCCACCTTGATCCTCCTTTGGGCTGCTCGGTGCTGTTACCATGAATATCAGCAGTGCTGAGCTGAAGGAGGAGTTTTCTTCAGCTTCACCCTGCCCTATTTTGCACTCCAAGAAACCATTTTCCATCCCACCCCCAGTGCTCCGAGGGGCCCGAAGCCCCCCGGTAGAGCTGGGATGCACAGCACCGAGGAGGCCTCCCAGCTGGCAGCAGCTGTGAGCTCACATCTTCCCAGTGTTATAGCCACAGCATCAGAAACCTTAGAGCAGATTAACTGTGCTGATCCTCGGGCAGGACTCGCAGTCGGTGTTGAATTCCACATCATGCTCAGCTGGTGCCCAAGCTGCCTACTCGGAAAGGAGTTCAGGGGGCATTTTCATAAGTGGCTGAATCCAATGTAAGAGCTGCACTGTCTCACCCTCCTTCCACCCCTCTACTTCCAACCAGAGAATCCTACCTTCTCCCACATGAGCAGCACAACAGCTCTCAGGCAGCCAAAAGATGCTACAAAAGATGGTACAAAAGCATCTTTGCCTCTCATGGGGTCCACCCCATGGGAGTGCTAAGGCTGGGGATAAACATTTTTGGCCACTTCTACTTTAAATGCAGCCCCAGCCCACAAGCCATAGCACTAACTGGATTATCAGAAACGCTCTCCACTAGAAAGCTCCCATAAATTCAGGTACCAGGAATGAAGACTTCAGATTTAGTAGGAAGGTATGACACTTCCAGAAGAACTTTTTTCTTGTGCTTTTTTTTTTTTTTCTTCCCCTCTCTCTTTCTATAACTGAACTAAATCAGAGGCAGCAATCTCTATATTCAGTCTCTTAAACGTAAAGCAAGGTAAATGCCAAAGGTCCTGAAGTGCTTCATTACTGAAAAATAAATATATGGAGTCCCAGAAAAAATAAAAACAAAACTGTTGCTGTTTACAATTTTGGTTGAGAAATGCTCTAAGACAGAGGGAACCAGTAATACTTAATAAAACTCAGTCCTTTTCCCTTACTATGCTGTCTCCTAATTCTTCCTGACTGATGACAAAAATACCCTTTTTTAATGAAAACAACTTCAATGGAACAGAAATGTTTCTAAGAGGACATTAGCAACTTATTTTCTTTATTACTTTCTCATTATACTTATAATGAAGAAATAATTATTTCTAGGCTGTTTCCTGCCAGATGCTGTTCTAGTACCTCTAATAGGACACATCTTAAAATAACTGCTTGGTAGCAAGAAACTAAATATTTCATCCTTACTCATGTTTTCCCTTCTCCTCCTTTGCTCTCTCTTAAATAACTTTATTGATTTGGGCTCTTTCATAAATTTTGACCTGCTTATAGTTTTTTCTCCATTATTTGTCATTGATGTAATTCCCAAAATCACCTCTGTGGAGGAAAAAATGACTATGGAAGGCACCTGAGGTTCAAAAAAGCCTGTGAGCACCTCTGTTTTAATGCCAGTGGAGGCAGCATGAAGATCCTCAGGCTGTGGTTTCACACCAGCTTTAACCCAGCTCAAAAGATCAGTCCCAGCCTCCTCACCACCTCCTTTGTACCAGCACTAAGACCAGGAGCCAGATCAGAGAACTACTGGCTACCAGCCAGCCAAAAGACGGAAAGACAAATTGCTTTTTAGCTAGACAAGTTATTTCAGCCAGCTCACCATGGCCAGGCAAAGCAGGACACCAAGGAAGAAGGTGGGAGTGCTACATTCAGCAGTAATACAGTTTTACAGTGGAGTAATCATGGTCTTAAAAAAAAAAAAAACAAACCAAAAACATGGATTCTGCTTGTGGTCTGTCGGGAGCAGCGTGCTTAAGAGATTGGCAGGACATAAACCAGCCCCAATCCAGAAGCCTTTTAGAGCAAACAGGTCCTGCGTCCTGTCCTGCCTAATATACTTCATTAGCCCTTCAAACATGGGTTAAATATTCAAGGCCAGGATTTTGCACAAGTGGATTCATTTCCAGCGTGAACGTGCTGGTGGTATTGATCTGCAAAGCCACACATCTATGAAACAAAATGATATTATCATGTCATCTCAAATGCCTCAAATCTCCACTGCTCGCCTGGTGCCAGAGAATGTTGCCACAAATTAATAAAAAATGAAATGCATGTACATACAGAATCATCTATTTATGTAAAATATGTCATTATTCATTTGACGACCCAGGACAGTCTAGCAGAACAGGAGATTTTCAAGCTTGCAAATGTAAAGCAGACTGTGAAGTTACTGCTAGCAATAAGGTTAACTACCTGATACTTTGAAAGCACTTTGAAGAAATACTTGTACATGTTCTGGACTTCTGAGTCCTCCATCCCTGAGCACCTATACTTACCATGGAGATGAGCCACTGGCACAAGATGATAAGGCAAGACAAAGCACTACTTGACTGAATTTTGTAATGCATCGAGCTCAGAAGTCCTGCTGAGTGCTTCATACTGTCACCTGCGTCTTCTACCAACTTCAAGTTACATTTTTTCCAAGGATAAATACATTTTCACAAAGAATGATTATTTCTTTAAATGCTTCTTTATGCCATGAGATCATCCGTAGAGTGCCATGTCAGTTAACAGCAACGTGGATGCAACATTCACAAAACCACACAGCAAAATTTGAAGATCAACAACAGCAGGACCACCAGCAGAAAATAACCCAGATGTCTGTCCTAGTTGAAGGTCAATTTAGTAGTATAGTATTTTCCTCATGATTTTTTTTTCTTGAAAATTGAGATATGAAGATAATAACTAAAAAAATACCTCACACTGTGCTTTCCATCCAGAAAGGTACTCTTTGAAAACAAGACTGCTTAAAGTGTGTCTTGAGTCTGCCTCCCTTACAATTCAGGGAATTCATGTTATTTTAATGTAGTTTATATATATATATATGTATGGAGATAGATATAAATACATAATCCAGGCTGTGATCACGTTAGTAATTTGAAATTTTAAATGCTAAAACTATGCTATTATTTAAAACGAGCATTCAATAATTGATGGGAGCTTGGATGGTTTTCTAAAAAGGGAATCTCCAAGGCTTTTTATTTTTGCTGCTGTTATTTTTATTTTAAAGGAACCAACACACTCTCAGTTTCTCTTGCACAAGAAAGTGAAAATAGAACTATGACCAAAAAAAAGGTAATGAACCTCAGTGGGTAGTAACTGGTTTGCTTTGAAGTCCTGTCTATTGGAATAATGTAAAAAGCATAAGAAAGTCTAAGAGATAGCTGTAGATGCACTAAGTTACAGACTAGAAGTCAATGCTAGTCAATTCTCAAATAAATACCTACATTTTCTAATTCATGGGAAAACAAAGTATATTTCACAAATTCTACCAATTTTACAATAATTGCATTTTTCATTTTCTCCAGTTAAGAACACAGTACGTAACATTAGCAAAGAGAGATGTTTTCAGAGTGCTCTATACTTCACACTACTCTCACTTGCTCGGGATGCAGTAAAAAACTTTCTTGTAGAGTCTGATTTACTCAGAATGCGTTGAAACTGCCCATGATCCTCATATTCTCAAAAAAAAAAAAGCTACATCTTGACTCTGAGGAGAGACCTACAAATGAAGACTGTACAAATTAATGCATATCAGACTCTTCCAAAATGGTGCATTTTTTTCTTCAAGTAAACGTCCTGTTTAAAGGGCACTGAAGTCAATGAAAAACACATACTGATTTCAATGGATACCAGCACAGGTCTTCACAACAATATAAATATAGGTAACTTACCTTGGAGTCACACAGTAAAGGAAATTTAAGGTCTTGACAAAAAATTATAATTGGGGAGAAAAGATGTTATTGGTTTTTTGCCAGCTGTCTGTATTGCAATTCACACCAGTGTCAGCCACAACACTCACCAGTCAAGTCCTACTGGCAAGTCCCAGGAAAAACTCACCGAAACTTCTTTCCTCCAAAATCTTTTGGGTCAAGCAAAAGTTATGGAGCCCAGTGTGCAAAGTTGCTGATCTACCATGCCAGATCTCTTGGAAGCTTTTGGGATTTTGGGGAAGAGTGTGCTACAGCAGAAACTGTGCTCCAGCCTCTCCCACTGAGAAAGATTCTCCTAGGAATTCCCCTAGGGGAAAATGTCCCAGGTGGACAATATGTGTCTCTTACACAATCTGTGCCGTCATTTCTTCCATTCTGGCCTTCCCTCCACTTCCAATAGCACAAAGGAGATGGGAACATTAGGCCTTGGGTAAACTGGATAAATAGACACAGCATGGCACACAGTCGCTGTGCTACAGCATAAGGTACGATGCGGCCAAGCGACATACAGGAGGTAGGCAAGAAAGTGGAAGGAGACAGAACTCTGTGCATAATGAAAAGCTGAGTTCCTTCACCCTTCTGTAGAAATACTGGTTAAAACCTATTAAATACGGTTATCTGGTTTCCCCAATTTTTTGCAAGATCCATCCTGAATGATGAAAATGGTGAGATGCCAAAGGCTATACTTGAACACTCTGTAATCAATATCTTTTAGTTCCTGTTAACAAGAAAGCTCTAGTCACGTTCCTTATTAAATTATTTACCACCTTCATTCAATTGTCATGTGTTCTACTTGCCTGACTGCATGGTAATGGAGAGCAGATGACTAAACAGTTTACAAAATCTACCTTTTCCCCTCAAAAAACGTGTAGGAAAATAAATGCTCCACTGATAGCCATTTGACGGAGACAAGTCCATTTTACAGGAGGACAAACAGACTCCAGTTCTGCTGGTGAGCTCTTAGAGCTCAGGTCACCATGAGGAGCTGGGGTCTAGGTTTCCCTCCTTCCTTGACTTTATTATTTTTGCAATTTGCCTTGCTCATGGCTGACTATAAAATATACTCTGGTTCCCGTGAAGACAACCTTTCTGAACAGCATTTTTAACTGTTTTTCTCAAGTGACTGTGTTACTGTTTGGGGCTGCATCACTGCAATCTGTGGGAGTTTTGCTGTTGGTAACAATGTCTCCGAGGAAACAGCAGTCAGTGGAGATCTGTCTCTGTTTCCTGATAAGGTTTTTTGGCTTTCTATCCAGTTTCCTTTCCTGTTCATAGAGATGACTATCTGAAGTGTTTGGTTCGTTTTAAATCACTATGGTACTGTCAAAAAAAAAAAAAGAAAAAAAAAGAAAAAAAAGAAAGATTGTTCAACAAAGCCAACAGAAAAAACAATAAAAACAGCCCCTGTAGAGTTCATCTCACTCAAAGCCATCCCTAATAAGCCATTTGGTCACTGAAATGACACCTGCAACATTCTCCCTTAGGATTTTAGTTAGTTAGCAGTATTGAACATTTGGGCCACTATATTTAGCATATTCCTGCTTTTGTTTGTGCTTCTGAATTACAGTATTCAGAACCTGCCAGTATTACTGAGTATACTACAGGCTCTTTACTGTTTCTGATCACTCTGCAAGGAGATTAAATACAATGAAGAACCGCTGTTAACAATAAATTCCTATTATCATTGTCCGTAGGTACTTTGAAAAGCAAGTTATGGTAATTTCTTCATTGCTGTAACACAAAAATGTAGCACAGTACGATAAATTAGTCCCAGACTCATAATGAGATTTTTTTTTTATATATCTCATTTTGAACGTAGGCATGCAAGTGTCAGAAGGTATTTCAGAAATACACTGACAGATTAAAAATAGATTTTTTTTTTCTCTGCGGTATCATTAAAAATTTCTTCCAAAATGGAAGTATAGAAATAAATATTTGGAATCTATTAATTCTTGCAATCCTTTTTTACTCCTTGTAAGTCTTTGAAATGAAATACAAACTACAGATGAATCAAAGTAGCATATTCAGATCAATCTTGGTCAAATAGCCTGGACCAGTGTTGATCCTACTGAACAGTGCACAGAAAAAGCTGATTATACAATCAGTATATGGGAATGGGTGGAAGGAAGAGACAGCTGCTTCTAGTGAATCGTTTCAAGCTCTGAGTGAGAGAAAACATCCTTGGTTTTCATCATAGAGGAAAGCAAGGAATCATTTCAGTCACTTCTGGCACAAACACTAGGTTCTCAACACACAGAAGGCCATTGTTCTTCATACCAGAAATATTTTATCATTTGTACAATTATGATCGTTAATTGCCAGAGGATTAGCTTTGTCTCTTCTGGCTTAACAAAATAAATAAACAATCTTCTATTCTGACAATCTGCAATAATGTGACCAAATTGGGGAAGAAAGAGCTACAGCAACTAGAGATACATCCAAAGATGCAAACTACTGCAGTTAGACATCTTGCGTGAGGGCTCCATTTCCAGTTCTGTGCTATGGCACATGTAAGGGTTTTCTAAGGAGTGTTGTAATATCAGGCTTCTTCTAGATGTAAAAGGCAAAAAGGAAAGGACCATACCTGGCCTTGTGAGAGCATCACTTATATAAGAAAAGACTGTTTATAACACTACATCATAATAAAGTGATTTATGACATTCCCACGTCCTGTGCATTCTATCATCAACAATCCAATGCAATGCATGAAACAGCAGCCTGGGATCCTGGCTACAGAACGTAGTGCACATCTCTTGCAGTCTCTCATGTCCCCTAAGTTAAAGGTCAGATTGTCAGCCGTGAACTGGCTAGAAGGCTTGGAGAGACCGAAAGAGGCACAGAGATACAGTCATAATTTCACCATTCTGGGGTCTTTTTACTCTGATTCCTTTCCCAATATAGTCTAGGGCAGTCTCATACATGTCCTCAGTTACCCCAGCTGCTTGTGGTCTCCATCAGTCACTTGATCATTACTTGGGCCCAGACCACTCACCTGATCTGTCCCCCCACCATAGAACTTTGACCGTGGGCTACCAATCTGCTGTTCCAACCAACTGAAGCTAAAGATTATTCAACTGGAAAGAGATTCAGCTACTTCCAGACCCTTTAAAGGCACAACCAGGTCACAGCTGAGTATTTTGTGATCTGTTTTTTGATTTTTGCTTGTCATTTTGATTTTACTTGTCACCTGCCAACCATTTACCTAGCTAGATGGATCTGTGCAAACATTTTTAGATGCCAGCATATCTTCCACATATTCTGGTGAAAAGAACATTTTTGATCAAGATTTCTATCAGGTTTAAACTGTTCAATTCTTTAACAAAGTTGCCTGCTTGCATATTGCAAAATGAACCCCTAAGAAAAGCACGTATCTATGCTATAGTGTAAGAGAAACAAACAGACCATAAATAAACATTGTGTTCCCCCCAGGCTCCACCTAGAAACTTTCTTTTCTTATTTATGTCACAGCTTTCCTTCACAAAAGGGTGTTTCTCATTCACTCAAAGATGTGCCATAGCCACACTCATCAAAGCACAGGAAAATTTGTTTTGCTCAACTTTGAAGCCACTTTTAAGACTGTGTTGAAAATTTAACCTGACTCAAACATTATATAAAAGGAGGGGGTGGAGGGGAATATGTGTTCAAAGGAAATCAGAGGAGTGTGACTGAATAATAAGGGGGGAAGGGGAAAAAAACCAAAAACAAAAAATCAACAAAAAAACCACAAACCCAAAGCATCCAAAGGAAAGAACAAAGAATTCGATTAAAACAATTAAAAAGTTGAACATTGTGGGCCTGGTCCTCCTCTACCGCAACAGATGTAATTTAGGAATAAATCCACTCAAGCTGGTCAGCAAGGTCAAAGAAGAACCACACATGTAAGATCACCTTACCAAACAAAAAACTCCAATTTTGAGAATTACATCAGATTTCAGATTTTACAAGGTTCACTCATTCTTATTTTGGAGTGAGAATTTCCCAGGTTGCAACACAAAATAATGCTTAGTAAAAATATATGGAGCTCTACAACTCCTTTGCATAACTTTTCTGGAGTTGCACTCTCCCAGGCTGGACGCTCTTTTCTTTTTCCACAGTTCATTGTTTTTTCCCCCCATTCTGCCAATTTTAACCTAGCAGGGAAAGTCCTTTTCTAGCAAGCACTGCCAAAATATTCAGGACATGGGCCTTGCACTCAGAGAACGCAATGCTGTGTCCAGACAGCAGTGCTGGGTGCCTCAGGGAGGTGTAATAACCAAGATGCTAGCAGTATTCCTAGCAGTCAAGATGTGGCCCTCTGCACAGCTGTGCACCTCTGCCTTTGATTTGTTTGGGTCCGTGTTCCTCCCAAAGGCAAGTTCTGAGTAGCCAGCTGAAGAGAGTGATGGTTCACTGCTAGCTGAAGGGAGGAAGACAAATCTGTTACCCACGACTCTGCTAGGAGTTAACTAATTATCCCCAAACACTCCAGCCTTTACAATGGGAAAGTAGCACACAGCTTTTATAAATAAGAATTATTGACCTTTTTAAATAGTTTCAAAAGAAGAAACTCTGCATCAAATGTGAGTATAATTTAGGAACTACTACATAGCAGCAAAACTACATTAGACTTTCCGATTTTTCCATGGTATCCTTGGATAGATACACCACCCAGTAGACCATGTTAAATGCTCCGAAGGTAACAGGAAATAAAATGCGTGCATATTTGTCTATCTTACTCGTGCCAGAGTGGGAGGCGGGGGGAGCAGGTGGTGGGACAGCAGATGGCTTTGCAGATGCTCCTAATGTATTAGGTGTGGTGGTCTGAATCTGCTCCAGTCTAGATCCGAGCAAGCGCTGAATGGAAGGGGATCCAGCTGTGGCATGCTGGGATACAAATCCAGTTAAAATGGGGGTAGAAGGAGGAGCTGGAGGGGTGCCTCTCGCAGAAGATAATGTCTCTGATGCATTGATGCGTGTGAAAGGGTTGGGACTTGATGCAGAAAGGGAGTGGGGTGAAATGTCAGAAGACCCCTGAGCTACAGAGGGAGGCTGGATGGAGCTGTGCCTTGTGTCAATGCGGCTCCCACCATCAGCTTCAGACTGTACGGTGGCATTCGTTCTTTTCCTCACATTTGAATTGGCATCTGTACTCTGCAAAGTTAAAAAAAAAAATAACCTAGTCATTGTTAGAACAAACGCTTAAACAGAAGCAATGGAAACTTTATAACCAAACGCTATCAGAATAATACTCACAAATATAACCAGTAGCTTGATCCTGAAGCACAAAGATACCACATGCTTGTGTCAGAACAGATTCAATAGCATAGAAAGTGATAACCAAGAGTTCCTTTTACCTGTGGCTGGAATACCAGGGTGAACACAGCCGATGCATCACACTCCACGCAGTGTGGTACCTGTGTAAACTTAATAGCATGAGGCTAAGGATTCTTGGGTTAGAGTCAGGGATTTTTTTGCAGGCCCATGCTCCAAAAAAAATTCTCTGATGTTTACCTATTTCTCTGATGGTATAAAAGTGTTCTAGATTCAGCTGACCAGCCATGATGTTTTACTTCTGCTTTATATCTCCAGGAAAGTAACTACCATATATTAGGAACTCTCGTCTGTCTTCTAAAGCAGATGCTAGTAAAACGCAGGTATTTACCAAACCAAGTTACCACATTGTTCCTCTTTCAGAAACAAAGGCAGTGCTTTTTCACATCAACCAGAGGCTAATTCTCCAGCTGCAACTGAACCAGTGAATAAATCAACCTTTCATCAACTACTCCTTTCCATTAATTAACTGAGAAAAGTGGTGAATTCTCCATCACTTGTATCTTCAGGCAAGTCTGGATGTCTTTCTGAAAGATATACTTAAGCCAAACAGTACTTACTAGGCTGGCTGAGAAACTGAAATACAGATAAGGAGTACAGATGAGAAATCCAGCAGAATTTAATATTTTACTGACTTCTGGGAGTGGGACTTGGGCTCTGCCTTTCTTCTCTGCATTTAAGAGGACGCCTAACATCTGAACCCCCTTCTGGAAGGGTACCTGAAGAACAGGCTTTTGAACTTTCAGCCCTGCAGCTAAAATATAATACAAAGCATATTATATTTTAGATATAATATGTGAATATATTTTGTGCAAAGGCTCACTGCGTTCCAAAACACAAAGATTTAATTGCAGATAAGGATACAACAGCAATACAGGTCTAAATACCAGCAGGAGCAAACAATCACTTATTATATATCAAAAATCACATTTTGCAAATCAGAGTTTTGCACCTCTCTGATGATACCTTTCCCAAGCATTGCCCTGCACAACACCTACTATGCCTTTGGCTCCCCTTCCCTTCAACCCTACCAGAGAACCCTGCCAAAGCTGACAGCACAAGGAAAAGGGAGATAAAGTCAGCAGTGATCTCTCTTCCCTCCTTCATCCAACAGCAATTCTCTCCAGCTAAGTGCCAGAGTAGTAACAGAGAACATCTCAGGTGTTATTCAAGGTACTAGTATCTTGAGTAGTGAGAAGAGTGACAACCATGTCTGTCTGCTGCACCAGTCGTGCTTAGCTGTTTTGCTCAAGGAAACGGAGAAACGGGAGCTGACAAAAAAAATCTGAAAAAAATAATTAAAAAAAAAAATAATCAAATTGCTTGACATCTCCAGTACTCCCATCATGGCCAGAATGTTGGTCCCAAACCCTGTTAATTGCAGTACAAATCAGCCACTGGCAATACTGCTGGCCTGAATTTATCTGAAGCTGTCAAGATATATGCCAGCTCATGGTTGATGTATTTGCCAGCTCATGGTTGATATATCAAAGAATCCCTCTTAGGTTTTACAGTGCTCCATGCTGCACAGAAGTGTGTCAATCCTTTTTATTTATTCTTCTGCATCTGTAACCCAAAGACGCAAAGGGCTAGAATAAACACCAGAGGAAACTGGTATTTCCTGAAAGAAATACTAATTTTACTGTTTGAAAGAGAAGCCTGAGTCACTCTTTGGGAAGTGGAGAAGTACAGACAGGTGTGCAATTTGGAATGACCCAGGAATAGTAAAGCAGCTTTCAAGACTGCTAAATTGAAACTATAAAATGCAATCAGGACAGAAGTGCATTTACTAGAGACTTAGTAATACCTGATGGAGTACTCCATGTCACCTGAAGGCTGGCAAAGCTAAGCAGATGCAAGTCATTGATGCTCACTGTCCAAAACAATAGCTCTGTGCTATGGAGAAGCTGGCACTATGAGTCATTGCAAGGAGGTGAGTTTTACCTTCTACGTGCAGATCCTTGCACAACCTGCCTTTGCTCAAGTAAGATTCTCCCATTGTAAAGCTCTCAAGCAGTGCCTGGGGAGCAAAAGCTGCAAAGTAGATCTGCAGTGGAACTAAGACATGTCTCCCTTTCCCCCTGCTCTCTCCCTACATTAGACCAGTAGCTTAGAGGTGGTGCTGCTGGAGAACAGAAGCACCACAGCTTCAACCACTCCAAGCACAACTATAACAGAATGGTCCCAAGAGCAGAACAGAGAATTAAGTGCAATTGACAGAGGCTCCATTTAACTCTCCTGCTCAGTTCTACTGTCACCTGTTTTCAATGGTCACCTCACTGTCCTTCGCTCTGTGCATCATCAACCACAGACACTGCTAAAACAGACAGTTAACAGCCAGGTTTCTTCTCACACTCCAGTCATCTCCATTTCTTTTGGGGAACTTGTTTCCTTGACACATTTGCACAATACCTCCTCTTCTCCCCCCTTTGGCTGTCATCTATGTGACCAAGTAAGACCAGTTGCTATTTAATCCACTACTCATGTCCCATTACAGTGATTATTCCAGAATAAAGTTCTCAAGTTGCACCAGGTTTAGATTAGATATTAGGAAAAATAATTAAATATTAGATATTAGGAAATAATTTTACACTGAAAGGGCTATCAAGTATTGAAACAGGCTGCCCAGGAAAGTGGTTGAGTCACCATCCCTGGAGGTATTTAAAAGACAGGTAGACATGGTGCTTAGCAATATGGTTTAGTGATGGGTTTTGTCAGTGTTAGGTTGACAGTTGGACTAGATGATCTTAAAGGTCCCTTCCAACCTAGACAATTCTATGATTTTATTCAAGTTATCTATTATACTATTTCAAATAGTCAAAATGTGTAACTGTTTAAAAGTCTACTGGGCATTCTCTTTCTTGCCCCTGATACACAAAACTTCCAATACTTCAGGAACCTTAAGTTTAGAGAGAAATGCGATTTCCTCCTAAGTATTACAATGTACACACAAAGGCCAAATAGGTAACATCATACGGCATCACAACATAGCACTGCATAACAAGCCCCCAGAATACAGGTACATTTTTTGTTAATTCTCTGGAAACCACCTTCCAAGCGCTCAGAGCAGAGAAATTAGGAATGGTATTTCTAACACGCTCCACAATGTATCACTGGAAACTGGTTGTTCTTGCATAATGTCACTGTAATAGTATTTGTGTTCTTGAGTTGAACCTTGTCCTTGAAACCTACTGAAACAAACACATTCCATGGTGAGAGATGGCACATTACACAGGGAAAGGCAGGGGCTTTGGCCACCGCTGGAGCAGCCTGTTAACCATCAATACTCACTCTAACAGTGCTGGGAGCAACTTAAATATTGGAGATGGAACAATCTCCTGGGTCACTGCTTAGCTCCAATCCCTTATCCACCTCAGAAGCCCAAAAGGGAACATGCTCCAACTCCTGTCCCCAGCAGGTTTAGCAGAATCAGCGTGGCCCAGCAAAACAAGAAACAGCCTGCCTCAGTGCTCACTTTTTTAACAGGATAAGCATATCACACTGAGTGGTGAGCATCCAGCTCCATGTCCTGCCAAATGTGAGCCGAACGCACACTCATTGCAGGGTGGTCTTGCCAGCACATTGCCCACCATCACCTCTCATATATCCTTCTCTTGCACTTGCCTTACTCAAGACTTTAGCGTGGCAATAGCTCATTCGCCTCCTTCAAACCACTCAGGTGCATCTCCTTTATGGTTTCTCCAGCTGAAAAGTTTCTTGCAAAAATTCTTATTATTGGTTATATATCATCATATAGCGATCATCTGGTTATATGATTCCTTATATTCCTCTATTAAATGTTACAAAGATAATGAATTTCTTCCTACATTAGTCTATTCCTCCTCTGTGCTGATGCTGTCTCACAGCTCTACATCACCTGAAGATTAGTCCCAAGGTCACTAATAAAAATATTTTTAAAGGCCATTTCCACGGCCAAGCCTTAAAAAAACAAATTCTGCTGACATCAGCAGAAGTCAGGTTAACGACTACCTTGCAAAACACAGCAAAATGCAACGTTCAGTTTGTACCAAGCAAAACATTCCACAGACATTTCAGCTATGGTGCATATCCCTAGTTAAAGGATATTGTCATAATCACAATCCGAAAAAAAAAAAATATATACACACACATATGTAAAGCACTTGCTATCTCCCAAAATTATTTTACTTCACCTTTTTAAAAATAAGAGCAAGAAACACAAACCTGCTGCCTATTGACAGCTCTTGGTCTGGAGGCATGAAAATAAGAAATAAAATACGAGTATCAAATGAAAACCAAATTGAATGCAACCCAAGAAATGAAAGTATTATCCAAGTAAAACCTCCTTTCTGAGGGCAAGTCAGGAAACCACTCAATTATCCTGAGCCAACAGAAGATGCTGTGCTACTCCAGATGGGGCTCCACAGGAAATGCTGAGTCCACTTTTTTTTTTTTTTTTTACATTCTCACTCTAGATTGAGAAAGGATCTGATTTTGTGGAGATGTTTCAGTGATACTTTTTGGGAGACATTTAAAATGGACTAGTTCAGGAATGCAAAATGGGACCCTGGAAACTACCATAAAAAGCAGTATATTGCAGCATGCAATGACCAGCCTTTGTACGTTTAATAAAGATTGCCTTTCTATAAACACAACAACTTGCTGCTTATGCAAATTTCACCTCAACCTTCCTTTGTTCCTCTGCACACCCTGAATAGTAACGATAACAGGCACATATTTTAACTGATGGACTTAGTAGTGTTAGGTTAGACTAGATCCTAAAGGTCTTTTCCAACCTAAATGATTCTGTGATTCTAATTTATGTGAGGTGATAATAGACT